CTACACAAAAGTACTGCTTAATAAAATGGATTTAAGGATTTTCTACTTCTGTCTGTTTATCCGGAAACTGATACCACTATTATCCTGATTGGTAACACGATGCAATTCATTTTCAAGGATCGTCTTCTAGTCATAATTGCAGCTGGATCCTCATCACAAAAAATGTGGATTTGCCCTCTAACATCGTGCTTCTTTTGGTAGTTCTCTCTCGGGTTTTTTCATTGACAATATTCAACATCATTAGTATGTTTCCTGCTTCAGTAATGAGCCACCATTTCTTATGAGCAGGTGTTATTATACATTGTTGTTGTTACCAAGTGGCTCGCCGGTTGAGGCTGGTGCGCCATCACTCTGTGACACTACACATTTTGGCCATGCGTTCCCTTCTTTCGTATGGTAAATACTCTACTAGTATCCAGCTTCCTCTCATCTGTGCGCTTGATCAGCATCATCATGTGCTGCTTCCCACCATTCCATAGATGGTAGTATTAGAAGCAGCAGGTGTGATGCTATTGGTCGAGGAGTGCTGACCATGTGTACACTTCAAAGGAAAGCTAGGTCTCAGCTGAGTATCGAAACATAGAAAGAAAGTTGCACGGTGAAGCCGGACCGTACCACAGAAGGAATCGCGCTGGCGTCAGCGGGCGACTGATCCGACTGGTCCTTTTATAACTCTCGACACGTCGACGGTAAGAGGAAAATGCGAAAGTGCTACATGTCCCCCACCCCGTCGCCGAATTGCGCCTGAAATTCTCATTCGGATAGGAAAGCTGTAATGCAGATACCTTTTCCGCCGCGGATCGTTAATCTGAGTTCATCTGAAGAGTTTTGTCCTGTCAAAACCACTGGACATAGCTCAATCCTTTCTTTGCAACTCATGGGACACGGGCAGGGGAATAGTAAACCGCTTGGTCGCGCGCGCTATGGGCGCGACGTTTCTTCAATTTGCACTACCGTTTTAATTGGAGCATCATTTCATGTAGACAAGGATATGGTAGACACCTAGGCCTGTTTCTGGTCTTCTTACATTGTTTATTCTCGACAAATACCGCCTAAGGTTGTCATCATTAGAATATATAATATATATATATATATATATATATATATATATATATATATATATATATATATATATATATATATATATATATATATATATATATATATATATATATATATATATATATATATATATATATATATATATATATATATATAGGATAAAGAGGGTTAGCGCCCAGTCTCCAGGACTCGTGTTTGTTATCGGATGTCAGGTTCTTGGTTCCTTTAATGCGTCGAGCCCATCTGTAGTTTCTGCCATGGTCTTTTCACGGTGTATTTTTATATACCCTAAAATCCCATAGATAAGAGCGGTTTAATTTACCGGTGAGAAAATGAATTGGAATGAAATTGAATGCAGTCACCCCTCTAACTTGATGGATGGATAAATAAAAATCGGAGAAGTTTAGAAGAAGCTCCGCCCCTCAACTCTAAACCCCGCCCACTTAATAAACAATTCATATAGAAAAATAGCGATTTTAACGGAATTTCTGCCGGAATCTCTCTAGAAATGCCGGAATTTGATCTCTGGATAGAACTTGAAGAGCCCATTCGATCAGTAAAATTCCATAGATAAGAGCGGTTTAATTTACCGGTAAAAAATGATTTTGAAAAAACATTTTTAAAATTTTATTTCACAACAATTCATTTCAAAACACATTTCACAACAAAACATTTCACAATATCAACAACAAGGACTCCAACATATACATAACACTAAACTTATAAAGGTAGAGTTGTAGGCTATTATTGCGATAATCATGAGCACACAACGCCAAAACGTATACAAACGTCAATTTTCATTTTCTAGTACAAACCGCTCTTATCTATGGGATTTTAGGGTACTTTTTTATGTGCACACCTCGAGTATGGAAATAATAATAATAAATAATTAGCGGGCGCAACATCGCACGCGACGCCCACTAGCGCGGCAAATCACGATTCTCTTGCCACTACCCGCAACTCATATACTTCTGTTAGATAACGAGCTGTTCCTTCAGGTTGTGGTCGAGGACGAAGAACAAGCGATTCCTGAATGATCCTGGTGAACTTTGTAACTGTAAATTAGTCGCTGCACAAGTTTGTCAGGTGGTAACTCGCCGAGAAAGCCGAAATAGCCTCACGGAGAACCACTTCCTGTGACTTCAGATTATGCCTGAGATGCTGTTTTTCAAAAGAGTTTTTCTCTTTCTTTTTTTTCATTTCTCACAAATTCATTTCTTATTCAAAACCGTAATGAAGAACAGACTGAGTGTAAAATACCGTCCACCGTAGAAGGACAGGTTCATTTTGCATCAAACTTGGGTGATGTTCTAGATACATAGGTTTCTATGCGTTGTAATTTCTAGGTATTTGTTAATTTGAAAGCTGAATATTCTCATAGTGTTTGGTTCACAATCAGCAAAGAGTGTCAATAAATGAGTCCATCATTTCCTCTTTGTAAACGGCTGAAAAGATTTCTTAGTATTTATGCCGTTTAAGATTTGCCAAAGTACGGCAGCGTTCAGACTTAGCGACGGCAGCGCTTCGGTCGCGCGTTCGGCGCGATCGATGCGCATGCTTTCCACTGCATCGATCGCGTCGAAATCGCGATCAAAGCGCTGCCGTGCGAAGTCTGAACGCTGCCTACGAAAGGCTATCGTTTTTCAACAAATGTGGAGTGACGAGTTTTTTGTTGTCTTTGTACGGGCGATTTGGGACAATACTCTCTCAGCAACTCATCGATATGGTATCAAACGTACCTAATAGAGTAAGAATCGTTGTGCAGTCATTATCCCTGCAAGATAGTGCGTGAAGGGACGAGAGCGCAGGAAGGGCAGCTTTTATCACCAAATTATGTGAGCTAAGGATGGTATCTTCAGTGGAAATGACTGCGAATGACTGTTCTCGCTACGTTCCAGAATATTTGGCGTGTTTCCTAGTTGTTGATTAGCTGGGGATAGACGCAGGAAGAGCTAATTCACTTCAAACTCGCAGACCTAGAGCTAGGGAGTCGACGAACCATAACACTGGAATGGTTAGGTCCTGATGCGACTGCTGAGTACGTCGCCACACTTGCAATGCCTATTTTACCACGCTTACCGCGACATGGAAGTAACGCTCCACATTGGAAATCAAAAAATCTTTTTTTCATAATCAGACCTGGGTTGGGTTGTACCTGGTTAAGATGAAGGTCGAGCAAACGTTGAAACAAACTCCTTTTACAGTGATGAAATGTTCAGACTTCGAGATAAACCACGTCGTCGTACACGCGACGCGTTACAGCAATAGCGCTCCTGTCCGGTCAGTATAGACGCGAACGCAGTCCGAATGATATCGCTGCTGTTACGCTGATAAGGGTGGCTTTTTACGCCGATGGTAATGGGAATGACTGTATAGAACATTATCTCTGGTTTTATGGCCGATCACTATTGGGATGTATCGTTGCGATAATACGCTCTACATCCTTGAAAGAGGTGTGGTTGCTCAGCTCATTTGAAACCGGCGTGGTTACGTTTCTGGTGGAACACTTTTCGTTCCAGAAAAATAGCAGCCATGCCTGGATCGGCACAAGGCTGGAGAGCAGTTGTTTGGAAGGGGAATATCTCACGACAAACACATCTCATGCCACGTTCGAATGAAGTACGCAGCCATGCCTTCCTTATCTTCTGGATGGTGGAGTGCGCCGTGCTGATCGCTCTCCTGGAGACTTGCACACTTGAAAATGTGTAGCAGAACCGGGCCTTCTCCGAATTTATTGTTACTACAATCATATTTCTGAATGATCCATCCGAGATCAAAGTGCGCACGATTGCTGGACGGACGCTTGTCGCTACCATCATTTGCGGAAGAGCGTTGACCACACCCACCCTTCCACAAAACCTCGGGCAGTTCAGCCGAACGCCCTCTACATCCCTTCCACCAATGGCGCTGGCGCAACTGCCCGCCTCCAGCTGTCGTGCCTTTGCCTTTACTAATTTCGGGTACAACGCCGCCAGGTATTACTACACAAAGGGTTTGTAGCAAAAATTTACTTTTCGGGAAAGTTAGACTTTCTGGAATTATTCGACTAAGTGCAAGAAAAGGAAATAGTGAACGTTTTTGCAGTAAAAAATGCATATTGAGTAGCTCCTGAGTACTTCAGAACGGTTTTGAGATCTCGGTGCGTTTATAGATTGAGGAAAAAAAATCACTCGTGGACCTTGGAATAGGTCCAAGTGATTTTTCCTGCCAAGGTTGCAACAAAACAGGTTTTTCCTGAACTTCAATACTGATGAAAGATGAGAGTGATGTCCTTTGCTGATTGTTCGACAGGAACGGCGGCAAAACTGCTCTGAATACCTGAAGGTCGTCCTTTCGTTCTTTATGAGGTCGCAATTATCTCGAGTAACTGGGTCAATGGCTTGAGTAGACTGGGCGAATGCGCTCTGAAAGTCATGCGTCTTGCATTAGATCAATTCTTTGCCATATTCCAGTGAAGGAACCTTCGGCAAATCATTGAGAAGTAGGGATGTCAGCGCACCTGAAGGACCAGTTTCCACCTCAAGGTTCCTGGTAAACGAAGGCAATAAAAGTTGGAGATTGTTTGGGAACATCACGCCATCCACGCTTATATCTAAGAGGTTCAAAATTCGCTCAAATTACCTTTAAAATCCCGTCATGCTACTGACAACCCTAGTAAACTAGGACAGGAGGCCAAGCAGTGTCTTCCGAAGGCGATCATTCATTGAGGCAGAACGGAAACTGAATCTCTGAATGCCCTTCAAATTATGTAAATTGCACCTCTACGCGCTACGGGTTTTCAAAGCGGGTGGAGCGTGCGAGTACGCGCCGCCCCTCAACCGGTGTGAAACCAGACGCGGTCGCGGTGGTGGTCATTATTTTTCGCCAGGAACGAGCCGATCTCCACGGCTGCTATCCCTCGCAAACGCCGCCCAGCTACTGTGGCCATTTGCTGACGAATGTCGCCTCTTTTGCGTGGATACTCGCGATATTTGTATCGGCAACCGCTTATTGTAGCCGTCGTTGCTGTGGTTCTCACCGGCCTTCTGCCTCTTATCGTCCTCTATTTTCGACCGATTCAACTCAGTCAGAATGCTGAAGTTGTGAGTTTTTTTAAGTTTCGCGACGAGGACCGTCGGGGCCGCCCCTCGCGACGAGACCGTCGGGGCCATCCCGTCCGGCCGCCCGAGTCCTGGTCAAGCGAAGAGGTCCCTGACGGCCCTTGTCACGCTCTGGCAGCTCTGTTCATTGGGGTCATTGCGGATCGGCGCATGGCTGGCATTCCAGCCGTCCCGTTTACAAATCGATTCATGTATTCCACTCTTTGATTTTCCAGGGATTTGACACGAAGGACACGGATTTGTCCGGGCAGCGGCTGGCATGGCAGAAGATGCAACAGACCCTTCAGAGGACGAATCGAATTGTCTTCGCCAATCGACCACCACTTTATCCTGACGCACAGGCTAATGCCTCGAAGGAGGTGACGGCGAGGAAGAGAGCAAGACGATCATGGGCTGATGAATTACTCAACACTTTCAACAAAGTTCCATGCTATGATGCCCCGATTCCCTTCAGTGCGTTTCAAGCTTATTTTAGTTCTTTTCTTGGAGCAATTAAAAGCGATATTTCAGTGAATTATCTCACTCAAGTGGTTATTGAGGTGCCAAACCTGTCGAGCATATTCGACCCTGCATTTCTTCACAAGATGTGCTCAATGCACGATCATATTGCCGCAGAACTGAGCGCTTTTGACAACTACACGCCCTATCGGAACGTTTGGAGCATCGCCAACTTTGTCTCATGTCTGTCGCCAAACTTCCTTTTCAATTGCACAGAACTTTCTGCTGCTGATGTGGATACTGTACGTAACCTCATCAATTACTGTGTACCGTACCGCGATCGATTGATAGCTTGCCAAGTGGCCTGCAAGGACAATCCCTCCTGTCCCTCGTGTCGAGGTGAGCTTTCTTATCAGGATACAGCATCGCTGGGAGAACCCCGAGTCGCGAGAGGGGATTGCCTTTGTTGCGAGGGGTTCGTTGCGCTATACACAGGGTACAGCATCGCTGGAGGAATCGCATCGCGGGGTCGTATTTTGTCCCTGAGAGACGTGGTGAGAGGGCACTGAGGAAAATTTCTTCGAGCCGCGAAAAAATTCCTTCAGTCGTAGACTTTTCGATCCCTCCTTTCCCCCCGCCCCCTCCCTCCTCAGCACCGCAGAACTAAGAACATGATAGCTGGAATTCGTAGTTGATTATCTATGATTGTTTACGACCCCCCCCCAACCTCGCTTAACGGGAAACCCCAAAACACTGGAAGTTCGGGAAAGTGCTAGGAAGTTGGGAAAATCTAGGAAGATTGTAATTAGGCTAGTAGGCGGATGTAACAGATGAGGGAATTCCAAGAAGGTCGTACTGACACCACTATTTCAGTGTCACAGTGCTGTACCCTGGCTGTATGTACCCTCACAATGCTGTACCCTGGCTGTATGTACCCTTTCTAGCTGGCGTCGCTACGGAACTACTATTTTACCACGGTTTTTCATAGTCGATCCTAAAGGTTGATTGCACTTTCACCCCCCCCCCCAACTTAGAATGAAGGCTCTTTGGAAAAATGGTTTACTATTGGGGAGGCCGTGGGAGATCTCAATGGAAGAAAAAATTTCAGGTGGTTGTACTGGAATAGGAACCTCTATGTGGTCCTACTCGAAGAGGAAAGGGTTTGAAGTGGTCATTCTTCCTCTTTCGATGTACCCTGTTTCTTAACATAAACCCTACAGTATATTTAAAGTGGTTGAATTTTTGCAGAAGTGCCGTCGAATTGTTCATCGATTATGATGTTCGATCTGTTCTATAGACTTCTTCCTCGCGATCTGGATGCTCAGCCACTTCATCTGAACACTTTTCTGCCAGTGTTCACTTTGACCGGCTATGCTACTCAAAATATTGCTCTCAGCATCGATCCTTACAACAGACTCGAAAAGGCGATTGTTCGTTTCATGGAACACGAACATCTCCTCATGAAAGGTATAAATCATTGCTTAGTGTTCTCTTCCCTCAAGTGCAACAATCGTAGCATGTGTGTTCCTATTCTCCCGAAAGCTCACCTCAAAACTCGTTCCGAAACTGGATCCCATCGCAGTGGCCTTTTTTAGGCTCTATAAATGTGTAGCCATAAAACGCACAGTGGATTCAATCGAAGTGAAATTGATCGGGGATGCAGGTTACGTGCAGTCGTTCTTATCCTCCATGCGGGGCTGGTTTCACTTTCTTAGGTCGTCGCTCTCCACCTAAATCGAACAGACGACAGCTGAGACGCTTTCGCTTAATTTCGACGGAAATAGCGAATTTTGGGTGCACAAGGGACGAATAGCTTCCGGGTTGAGGCTACCGGAAATGTTATTAGAAATGTTATTACTTCACATAGAACTTTAGGGTTATTCACGTCATCTGCTCATCAATCAAAATAGAAATCGCGATCGCTTTCTTTGTCATCAACTCTTATGTGTTTTCGGGAATGTGGAACAGCGAAAGGAACGCGAAATCAAACCCATTACCCATGACAATGACTTTAAAACCTTGATGAATATGATCACAACAACAGGCAAAGAAAGTGTCTGCTCATTAATCCCTGTAGTAGGATCTTTGCCGTCAACAGGTCCTTTTTGGGAGGCGGTACGCATTCTAAACTCCATATCCCGGGGATGGAGAGAGCGTGGCCGCGTACTTCATATGAACATGGCTCACTTAGCATTTTTCAACGGGTATTTCTATGTGGTACAGCTATCATCATGCCTTATGCTGAACAAAGACTACTCTCGTCCCGGAGCCTAGGCGATGCCCCAACAAAAGCGCAGATACCTGAAATGCAGGACGCAACTATGCCCCATGCAGCTCCGGAATAAGAGATGTACTTCATGGAAAATCGTAGTGGCGTACTGAACGCGATGTCGTCTATACGGTAACGCATAGAATGACATCGACTGGCGAGGGCTAGTCGATGTCATCATTCATCATACCAGGCGGAACCGGTAATAGCATACTGTCTCCGGAAGGTAGAAGTCCTGGTTGGTCGGGCAATAGCCGATCCGAGACTTTACCCCGGACTTCGCTTGTGGTGAGCGGGCCACTCACCACTACACCACCCCTGCCCCGTTAGTCTCGATATTCTTGATTTCACAAGCCATTTTGCACTCGTCAGGATCCTGTAGACATTGCTGATATTTTAAAGCAGAATGGAGGGTATCCTACTCTATATAATCCGCTAAGTATGTCTGTAAGTGTGTGTGTGTATGTTGTGTGTGTGCGTCTGTCTGTGTGTCACGAAATTCATAGCGCCGGTCCCAGTAGCAGTGAGACATTGGTTCCAAGAAGTGATGTAGGGGGTGTGACGGGAACACTATTGGTGGGTGACAGGAAGTGATATCAGTTGATAAGATCGATAAGAGGCGTTAGAAGGGGAGGTCACCATATTCATAATGCGGGTGACAGCAACAGCGGGACCTTGGATCCGAGAGGTGATATAGGGTTTGGGACGGGAACATTATTGGCGGGTGACAGAAAGTGATAACAGTTGATAAGATCCGATAAGGGGTCTCGGAAGGGGATCATCAAATTGTAACGCAGGTTACAGCAACAGTGGGACCTTGGATCCGAGAGGTGATATAGTGATATGATAGTGATACGGGACGGGAATATTATTGGCGGGTACGGAAGTGATAGGAGCTAAAGTGACAAGGTAACATGGGAAAATCCGCTTCACCGCTCACAACAACAATGCGATCGATATGACTCAAGTATAACGATCTCAATGATTCCAGAACTCATTCCTCACTGCTTATTAGTAACGACATCATGTACGACCGCTAAGCTAGCTCTATTCCAAATGCATGGGTTTGTTTACAGAGATGTTATGAACAGCAGCAATTGACTTAATCACTCTTACCACAATTATCTTCCATCAACAACCTTAGTGAGGGCCATTTAAGGGTTCCACTGCTGAATGCGGGAGTGCATTCCAAAGCAAGAGGAGGACAGAATGCATGGAATCATAGGCTGCTTCAGCGGCTAACCTAACAGGCTGCAATATTCCCGTGTAGGTTATGAACGTACCAGTCGGATCGCTGGCTAATACCGGCTCCCCTCCTTCTGTGATGCGGCGGGCCGAAATTCCAGCGATTTATGAACCTTCTCTCGGCGAGTCTTTCCGGCGAACGGAACAGGACCTTCGTGAGGATTTTCAGCAACGCTGTACTCTTTCCCGGTTGTACCCGAAAAGATTCTACGGCAGTCACTGTTGCACTGTCCATAATAGTCCCCTTGGTTTCATTCACATCCCTTATTGGGTGCGATTAGAAAGCGAGTCCGTCCCCTTCACTGCTTGACTGCGCAGTAGATTTCACGAACGAACGCGGTCTTTTGGTCTTTTACCCGTCGTTGATTGAGGCTGGAGGGGTCTCATTAAAGGTCTTGTCAAAGTTTCATTTGACATTTTGTCTTCACAGACGATTCCCTTGACAACTTCTTTTCCATATTTCAACACCTTTACCTACGCTCCTTATCGTGGACCGTGCCTTTGAAAAGCTGTGCATGGATTCGAGCCGAATACTCTTCATGGGAACATTTTTCTCCTTTTTCGCAGGGACACAGTCACAGAGCGCGTTTACTGCTTACAAGAAAAAAGTCTAGCTAGATTGAACGACATACGGGCGAACTCTCACAGGGAGAGACTACAAATAATTGCACTGCAGAGTGTCCTTGATTTTTCCAGAACGCTGTTATTTCCACCTGTAGATTGCCATCAAATTTTGTTTAATGTGCACGTTTTTAACAATAGAAGATGACGGAAGACCGGATGAGTTGACCGATTATTTGACTCGTCCCAGGCAGACGCTCTCGCTGACATACGCGAACGCTGAGGGATTAGCATCAAGGACGGGCAAACTTTATGGATTCGCGATTGATCAATACGTGTAGAAATAGAGCAGAAGATTAGAAATACATTTAGCAGTGGGAATAATTTGGGAAGGTTAAAGTGTGACGAGCACCTCTCAGAGTATTCCGACACATATAAATGAGCCTATTGAAAACTACGTAGAATGAACGCTAGCAAGGCCAAGGTGGAATTAAGAAGCTATAAAAAGAACGGAGGGGAGTTGCAGTGATGTGCTTGACAGGAGAGTGGAGGGCGAGAAAGAATTGAATAGTGACATGCATAAAAAGTAAACTTAAATGCAGCGGGCATGATGGCTGGGGGCGGACGGTTGATACCGACGTCATTGGTGGAACTGCTGACTGGGGTATGGGCCAAACGCTCTCTAGCTCTTCCACTAGTGACGTTGGCAGCAAACATCCGCTCCCAGCCATCATGCCCATTGCCTCTAAACATTCTTATTATGACTAAAAACCATTTTCGTTGTTCAGGTATTTTGATGGATGTGAAGCGAGACCGCTTACTGCCGGCTGCGATGTCTGACAGTCTTCTGGCAATTCTTGCCGCAGGAGTAGTGGCACTACTAGTGGCACTTCACTCACGCTCATTCGCCTACGCCATAGCTGTCTTTTTCGTTCTAGGACTGAGTGTTGTTGGTTCGTTTCCATTCTATTCATTCTGAAAATGAAAGTGGCGTGTGATTCCACCCTGCTCTTCAGTGCTTGTCGGGTGCAGGCGTCCCTCGTACATAACCTCGTCATCCGGGCAGTTGATTAGGGCGGTCGTCAACGGGCCGCAGCGCGTGCCAGGAACTATTTGCTTTTCCAGGCTAATTTAGTCATTTTTTCCACCTTGTGAAGATAAGGAGCTGCTAATCTGGGAAAAAGTAGCCAAAACAGTGAAAAGTTGGAAAAAATGACTAAATTAGCCTGGAAAAAGCAAATAGTTCCTGGCACGCGCTGCGGCCCGTTGACGACCGCCCTAATCAACTGCCCGGATGACGAGGGTACGTTTTGGCGCGGCGCCACCCTATTCCCATCAATAGTTGATCGCCTCGTAGTGGCGCCGACTGACGGAAACGAGCTGGCACCGAGCCAGAACGTACGGACGCAGGATGCCTCCACAGGGCGCTCCAATAGCGAGTAAAAGTCTCGTCCCTCTAGCCATTATTACGGTCAAAGCATGGCAAGCTTTTTTCCCAAAGGCAACGCGTACAGGGTCGAGCACGAAAGAGTACTGTGATTTCGAGCAGAAACTGCGTGGCGCCTTCCAACCGAACTCATAGCGCCTAGCCAAGGTGCAACATACCGACCGAGACAGACACCGCAACCCCACCCTCCCCCCCCCCCAACTGGCCGTGCAGTCACATCGACGTGGTACTCTTATCGCTTCATTTATGAAGTACGATTGTTGTGAAGCGTTGCTACAAGGATATGTGAATACACATACATAGTGGACATTTGAGCACCCGAATTTATCAAAGCGATGGCAACGGGGAACTCGTCCAAAAATGCACGCCGGCACGCCGGATGCCGCTGAACAAAGGCTTTTTTGCCGGTTTTTGGCAGTTTAACTTCACTTCCTCGTCATTTTTCCAACTAGTAGCGCCCCTGCTACTATTTCTGAGAACCAAACCATCGCTCCTTAAGTGAGTAAGTTATTTAAAAATCAAGAGAGTATAGGAAACCAAAAGTTGTTAGCACCAAGTAATCCCGAAAGCACTGTTGGCCTTCCGATCGAAGTTGTCCAATGTTCTTAAGAATGATTATACCGCTTTTTGCAGGTTCGCTCGCCTTTTACTCGCTGTTTACCTCCGATTTCCCTCTACTGAACCTTGTCATTTTTGTTCTTCTGATTGCTGTCGGTACAGACGACGCTTTCCTGCTTTTCAGTCATTTTCCACAGAATCTCAAAGAAGAGTCGTTTTATGAGGTTAGCATTGGCCTACAATTCTGTGCTTCTGTCCCTATTTACAACTGTGTATATATTGTATTTTTCGTTTTTTGTTGTAGTGCATGGCTCACACAAGCTCCACAATGTTCCTCACCTCATTCTCCACAGCTGTTCCGTTTTTCGTGAACATCTCCTCGAACGTGGTCGTTTTTCGGTATGAAAATCATTATTTTCGATATGACTTTGTGATTCATGGCAGCATTTATGAGGCTCCCAGCCACCCCTTCCTCAGTTTCGGGATGTACACGTACCTCCCAAAGCCCTGAGTTGGGGAGGGCATGGTTGTGTTCTTCGTTTGAACGTGACGCAGTTACGCTTTTTATGGGATATTCCTGTATGAAACGACTGGCATTCTGTCGTGTGGTGGACAGACAGGTTGCAGTGGCCGAAATTACAGTACCCTGAGGAAACCGAAATGGCAGTACCCCAAGAAAAAACGTCCAAACGTACCGTTTTGAGTATGAGGGGAGCGTGAGGGAGCATTCTTCCCGCACCCGTTCTCCACTTTTGTCGAATCAACTCTGCACTGGGACGAAGATAATGTGGCTGCAGGGATCAGATCCCGAATCTCTTAGACTAACTCAGATTCTAATTTTTCAGATGCTTTGGTCTCTTTGCTGGAGTGACAATTCTCATCAACTTTTTTCTTGTGATCTCCTTCCTACCGGCGTTTTTAATTTTGCAAAAAAGGTATTTTGTTTGGATGTTACTTGGAAGTAGTGAGCACGATTACTTGAGGTTTTTGTCATTGTCATTGATGGACGGGCTGTGGGAGGATGTTCTGGGGGACCTGCTCAGCCCCTCTACGAATGACGCTGGCTACAATTGCCCCCTCGAGCGATCGTGCCGACTGTCTTTAACTATTACCACCCCGACGTACAGAGAAAAGAAAGAATATTTCATGGATCACAGGGATTATGGCTAGGGATATGACATTTATTTGGTGCTGGCGCCATTTGGCCTAAGCGGCTCTGCTGAAATCGACACTAGCCGCATACCAGGGTTATTTGACATTTTTATTGCCGCGCTATTTGGCGCCGGAATGGTGCTACCGTCTATTTGGTACCACGACTTTCCGCATCATGATACATCACTATTTTGCATTGGAGATTAATTGGGGATCTCGATCATGAACTTTACATTCAACGTTTGGTGCCAGTGCCATGTAGCGCTGTACTAAGGTTGAGCTCTGAAGAAGGAGTGTCCTTCTCCACCGAGCTCGCCCTAGCTGAGCGCAAACCATCGGAGAGCTCTTCGTCGACGTTTGTGTCAAAAATGAATATCATACGCGTGATCACTGCGCCAAGTTCTCTTACATGCAAGTTCACATAAACTTTGTTAAAGACGCTCCAAAATAAGAACTGAAGATGATGACGAGGGCTAGAACTCAAGAGCAACTGTGCTGCTTCTGCAACAGCCCTCGCAGGCCGCGCATTCCCACAAAACATCAAAATAAAAACGGCCTAAGCGTCCCACTCGTTAGTTTGAAGTATTTCTATAGCATTAGAGCCGGATTCGAGCAGAAATGCACACGCGATTTTAATTTATTGCGTTTCCTTAGTTTTTTCAATTTTGTTTTATTTACATCTACATTCGTTGTTGTTCATTTCTAGCCTTTGTCATCTTCATCACCTTCTATTCGGACTTTGAAGCATGAGCAATACCTCAAATGTTAGGAAATTGCGTTTTGCTTGTATTGTCATGTTTTATTGTCATGTTCTGTGGGAATGCGCGGCCTCTGAGGGATATTGCAGAAGCACCACAGTTGCTCTTGAGTTCTAGCCCTCGTCATCATCTTCGGTTCTTATTTTGCAGCACCTAAAATGTTATCCGCATAAAGAAATTGCGTTGTACTTGTATTCCAAAGCGCAATTACAGGACTTGGCAAAAAGCCAAGAGAGCTGCACGCGACCGCGCCGCGCGGATGGTGTTAGCATAAACGTGAGGGCGGTGTAGCAAGGAATTACGACTTTCCCACGGCCCGTACTCTGACCCCGTGCAGTTTTGGGCGGGGGGACCACGACACATCGACAGCTGGGGGGCTGATAGTCTCATACACCCTCAATGTGTTTGAGCGTACCATGTGTCTTTAAGGAAGGTGAAAGCACCTAGTAGCGCCAGCGTCTCAAAGGGAACGGTCATGATGCCTGGGGCGAGCGGCTGTCAATAGCGCCATTGGCGGAAGAGGGCGGAGTGGGTGTGGCCAGCGCCCTCCCGCAGCCTTTCCACAAATGACAGTGGCAACAACCGCGCCCCAGCCGTCGGGCCGGGGTAGCGACAAGAGAATCGTAATTCGCCGCGCTGATGGGCGTCGCGTGCGACGTCGCGCCCGCAAATGACGATGGTTCCAGGTGGTAGATGGCGACAACAGGCAATTCAGAACCGAAAATAGTCATGAATGTCTACGATGACGGGGTCTACATGAAGTCCGGTGCTCCAATCGACAGGTTAACACGAGTTAAGAAAACGCCGCGCCGATCGCCGCGCGCGGCGAAGCGGCAAATCACGATTCTTTTGCCCTTCTCTCGTCGGACCCGTTGCCATCAAGCGTATGTCACCTTCGTAATCAGCGCACCGAGTAGACCTATTGGCAAAGTTCCAGCAACAATTTTTGTTGGTTTTTCGAGGTAGTAGTTGATAAAAAGAGCCATAATTTGGATAAAATGGTAGGGTTCCTGAGCTTCACTGCTCATATTACTTGTTTGCTTTTATATCTTAATCTTGAAATACGGCTGTGTGTCCTTCAGGTATTTCTCCTGCATTCCGTCATTGCCAAATGTTGGGATTTTAGTCACAAAATCGTTCAAAGAAGTTCTTCCATGGGTGATTGTGCAGGTTCGTCCCAACCTTTTTTCACAGAGCTCTAATCGGCTCCTTTTTCCTCATCTCAGAAGTTCAGTAGGAGGTGATTCGCTTATGTTGGGGTTTTGAGCGGCGCTTGAGAAACGTCATCGAACGAGCTACTCCCGATGATGGAACCGGGAGGGAATTTTCATTTCCACAGAACAAACTTGATTTATTCAACACGGAAAGTCAGAATCGCTGGCGCCTTTTGTGACGCCCGGCTGAAAAACTGCAGTTACATTGTAAATTGTTGCGCTCTCAAGTTTCTTAGAAACAGGTTGTATCGGTCCCATGTAAAGCAATCATTTTCGTGTCAATATCAAAGCCGCAAAAATAAAAACAAGAAATATGGTTCCAGTTCAGCCTGTCAATGAGAGGGTTTTCATATGATCGAAGTGGTGAACGTTCACGGGTAAGCTAGATTCAAAATTTCCTTAGCTAGTAATACTTACCCATATCACGACACATGGCCTTTATTAGTCTTGACTACAGTTCATACCTGAGGGCCTCAGTGGGTGTAGCTGCAAACATGGCCTTTATCATCTCCAGGATACAGGGTGATCCTATATACAAGAACTCGCTGTTGCATTATACAAATCCGGTACAGTTCGGCTTGGTGAGGGCCACGACTTTCGCTCAGCAAAGTCTGCACAAGCCACTTTGTTAGTTAGAAGGACTTACCCCATATCGTGTAGTAAGGCGATTTCTCGGAATGCTCTTTTTCATGGATTTTTTTGAGCGGGTGCTTTGATAGGCTCCACGTCTCGCATCTCCAATGTCCACTAAAATATGAGTTTGCTACCAAATCCACTTTCTGTAGAGACAGTCTTCTCGTATTGGGAAGAACTGGACAGGTTGGCCATTGCCCACTTGGGTCTTTAATCTTAATTGCAGATCATATCTATAGGCATCAATGGGTGGCCGCGAGCACGGCGATTGCATCGATGGTCCAGACGTGTTTTTTAGTGAGTAGAGCCGGTACGAAAATAGCCGTGAAGGGCTGCCCCCTGTTGATTCTGATATGGACTGTGCACACATGGTCACCCCTGCATCCTTGAGCTGAATCAGGATTAGACTTATTTGGAAGGATAAAGGTTTAAGGCTTGAAGGCAAGTGGCACGATAAATCGGCAGTACATCGGCAGTGTTTTTTTCTGTTCGGCACTCCACTCTATGTGATTATTATGTAATTGGAAGTATTTCACAGTTTTGATCGCACATGTCGAAAGAGGACCTACGAGTGGGCGGATCTCTTGACAAACCACTCGAGCCCTCGTTTCTCTGCCTATGTAGTCCGCTGGAACCGAAGCAAACTGTTCATCGTGGAAAGTGCAATCAGTTCGCGAGGGTATCGATCCAGTCTGGCTATCGAGGGACTTGTGTGAACCCTGTGTCCGCGGGTATGGATCGTTCTATGGAAAGAATGCTTAGAAATAATGCATTAACATACACCCTGGAACTACAAGACCTTCACCTGTGGAGAAGATTTTTCACAAAGAGGCACGGACCTTGTTTGTAATAAGAAGATACGACGTGACGACGTGGTACGATCAGTCTCTACCTCCCTTGACACTCGCCCAATTTATCGTTTCATTCTTTTCGGCTCATCATGTGTGAGCGCTATGTGACGGTGCACTCGAACTTCGTTCAATTGAGAGGGTAGGTGGTCCTGGAGGTGTAGCCCTATTCCGGAAAGTGGGAGGTGCGGGTTCGTATCCTGACTCACGACGATGACTCGGTGTTCCGTTATTGTATTGCTACAGATATTATTCGGCAACCAAAAGGGCGTGCGTGGAGACCATATTGTGAACATATGAATGGAAAAATTGCCTAGGTTGTGCGCTAATCAACGCCTCTTCACACGCCCTCTTGCTTGCAGGAATAGTGACTTTATACGCCTCTGCATTTTCCTTTGGCTCTTTCCTTGGACAAGGAATTTGTTACCCCTGTAGTTCTTCATTTCTTCCATTTCCTGCGCAGAATATGCCAAATACAGTGGAGAGATCTCGTTTCCGAAAACTGGCTCGCAGTGTCTATTATCTCAACCGGCACAAGTCTCAAGTACCTCTGTAAAGTTCCGTTTCGGTTTGTTTGCTTCATGACGCATTTGACCCACTTGGAGGACTTTATGTCCAAGACAAGCAGCGCTTGAATTTCGAGCATTGGGAGTGTTGGCACATTCTTCGTCATTTGAGCAGGTTAGAGGAGCCACTTCCAATGTGTCATTCCAGTTTGGGAGTTTGGGGGTTTGGGGGTTTATTAGCTTTAATTTTTATCGTCCTGTATTCTTCTAGCCCCTTGTCACGTTCACAGTATAAGAGATGTATAAAAGATGAGTCCTTTGGGCATTAAAAGATCCCCCTTCTAGGACACGCCATGCACTTCATTTCCGTTCAGAGTCATAGCCGGCCTCAGGGAAATAAAAGACTTCATTGGTCGGGAAGGAGCCGAGATTGGACCGCGGACCTAGCATATGAGTGACACTTCCCTCCGCCCATAACCTCTGCTTCAGAAACAGGATAGAGTGATGACTAACTCGATCGGATCAGCAAAACTGGTTTGAACTTATCTTCAGTCTAGAAACTCGCATGATTGCACAGCTATTCACACGAAGGCTTATCCTGTGGGAAGTCCACAGTTGCCTCGGCCGGCAAGTAGCTGAGAGGCTTTTCTTCCTAGGGGACATTGAAAGCGGACGTCTGCAAGGGGTAACCATCGCGATGGAAGTAGCATCTGCGTGGTCTGGGCAATGGTCAAAATTTTATCCAGGTGCGCGAATTCACGGGCCCAAGACGACCTTCCATGTGGGAGCATTAGGAAATTGGCTCCTCACGCACTAGCGCTAATTGTCGAGCTGCAGGATCGAATGATCACCGAAATGCTCTTGTAACGAACTGTGAACGATGCCTGGTTATCTAGTTTTCAGCTGATCTGTGCTGACAAAAGTGCTAGTGCTACTACAAAAGTATGGCTAGATTAAAGGCAGCGCCCACGTTCATTTGATGTTCCCGCGCCCTCTCTGGATATCATAGCCCTCCCTATGAGGATGCAGTATGTACTAGTTTTGCATCTCAAAAAGGCGAGAGGATAGCGCCGTTCGCTAGTGAAGAGTCGGCCGCCCCGCCCACCTGGCCAGCATAGGGTTCTATATAGGGCATTTTCCATGATTTTTTCTGCTTTTTTCTTCACTACTGGATCACGTATTATATGAGCTCCATAACTCATTATTCTTGAAAGCGGGCTCAGCCTCAAAAGGCTAAGCCAAAGCAGTTATAGGCAGATGCGTGGGCGGGGCTCATCTCTTCAAAAGGGGGTGGCGCCATCTTCTCGTATTTTTGAACAGCGAAATTAGTACCTCCACCCTTGTCAACAAAGCTACGATATCTGAGGAGGGCGTAGGAACATCATGAACGCGGGCGCTGCCCTTAAGTGAGAAGCGCTAATAGGTGTGAATGCCTCTAAAAGTTCGCTTCTTCAGGGCAGATACGTGTGGTTGTCAGGGTTATCTTTGCTGGTGGTATTCTCAGCGGTGATTGCGATCAGGGATTTACACCTTCCAGAATACAATCCACTTCAACTTTTCATCGCATCGAATCCTCACGAATGGTGGGTTGCAGTATTTTGTGTTTTTTTGTCAAGGTTTCACTCCATTATATCGTATTTTTTCGAGGTACGATAACAATGCTGAGAAAACGTTTGAGTTTGTTGAACAAAAGATCGCTATTCCTCTATATGCACGGCTTGTCTGGGGCGTGAAGACGGTGAATTCGACGGCAATGTTCCGATCTGACGCTGTCACCCCTCTGGAGTGAGATGATTTTTTATTTTCTTCGAAATACTAGTGTAAAATCGTTGCAGCTTATTACTTTTCTAAGGAACAGTGATGCGGCGCATAACTATGAATTCCCGAACGACAACGGCGCATGATACACCCCTTAGGCAGCGTTCATAGTTCGCGACAGCAGCGGCGATCGCCGCGATCGTCGGTGCATGGCAGCGCGCGCCCCAACGCTATTACTTGCGCTCCGAAGGCTTCTGGGGGTAAGCGGCTCAATTTTATGCTTTTTTTCCTTTAACTGCAATTTCCTTAGGTACTGAAGCTTGGTTTGACACAAGGGAAGGTGAGCCCAGCTTAATCGCTTTTGTTTTCTATTTTCTTTCTTATTTAGGATAGAAATGAGCAAAAAGCGCGAGAGCTTCACTTGAGGTACGTTTTTATTGCTTCTTTTTTCATTCGTCGAGGTTGTACATGAGGTTTATGAAGTTTTCACCTGTTGATGTCGCGTAAAATGATTAGTGTTTTGGTTCCTAGGTGAGTTTCTTTCTGTTTCTTTTTTTTTCTTCGTTGTTTGAACTCGACTTGTAAACTATGAATGTTTTGGAAGTTGGAACAGCTTAGACGATAGGAATTCCTGAGGCGCATGCATAAATTGAAACAATAAAAACAAAAAAAGAAGCTCACCCAGGAAATGGAGTTGGTCTTACCCCGACCTAAAAGGAAGTGAAACCTTCTTACCTCATATTCCAGATCTGCTTATGTGTAGAAAGTCGTAGCTTATCTGTTAGTAGCCCTTATTAAGAGTAAAGAAGGTCTTACAAGTTGAATTCCCTTATTCATCAGGCGAGCATCCACAATAGTGTTTTGGGCGTCGTATAACTTC